AAGAACTTCCTTCTTAGTACTGGTTTTGCTGCATCCCATAAGTTTGGTATGTTGTAAATTTTTATTTCTCTTAAGATTTCTTCTTTGACCCATTGGTTGTTCAGTGGCATGTTGTTTAATCACCACATATTTGTGAATTTTCCAGTTTTCGTCCCATAATTGATTTCTAGTTTCATAGCATTGTGGTTTGAAAAGATGCTTGATATAATTCCAGTCTTCTTAAATTCAATAAAACTTGTTTTGTGGCTTAACATATGATCTACTTTAGAGAATGCTCCGTGTGCACTTGGGAAGAATGTGTATTCTGTTGCTTTTGGAGGGAATGTTCTATATATGTCTGTTAAATCCATCTGGTCTAATGTGTCACTTAAGGTCGGTATTTCCTTATTGATCTTTTGTCTGGATGATCTATCCATTGATGAAAGGGGGGTAATAAAATCCCTACTATTATTATATTGCTGCCTATTTCTCCCTTTAGGTGTTAACATTTGCTTTATATATTTAGGTGCTCCTATATTGGGTGCATAAATATTTACAAATGTTATATCCTTTTGTTAGATTGATCCCTTTATCATTATATAATGGCCTTCTTTGTCTCTTATTACAGTCTTTGTTGTAAAGTTTATTTTGTCTGATATAAGTATAGCCACCCCAGCTTTCTTTTGGTTTCTATTTGCATGGAATGTCTTTTTCCATCCCTTTACTTTCAGTCTGTGTGTGTCCTTAAAGCTGAAGTGAGTTTGTTATTGGCAGCATGTAGTTGGGTCTTGTTTTTCGTTGTTGTTGTTCATCCAGTCACTCTGTCTTTTGACTGGAGAATTTAGTCCATTTACATTTAAAGTAATCATTGATAGGTATGAACTTATTGCCATTTTGTTTATTGTTTTCCGCTTTTTTGTAATTCCTTCATTCCTTTCTTCTTTTGCTCTCTTCCTTTGTGATTTGATGATTTTCTGTAGTGGTAGGCTTAGATTCCTTTCTGTTTATCTTTTGTGTACAATAGGTTTTTCCTTTGTGGTTACCAAGAGGCTTACATAAAACAACTTCTATTTATAAGTCTATTTTAAGTTGTTACAACTTATTTTCAAATTCATTCTAAAACTCTATATTTTTACTCCCCCTCCCCACATTTAATGTTTTTGATGTCACAATTTTTGTCTTTTTTCTTGTGTATCCATTAACAAATTATTGTAGTTATAGTTATTTTTACTTCTTTTATCTTTTAACCTTCATACTGGCTTTATGAGTGATTAAGCCACCACAGTTACAACATTAGATTATTCTGAATTTTGCTATATATTTGCTTTTACCAGTGAGATTTACACTTTCATATGTTTTCCTATTTACTAATTAGTGCCCTTTTGTTTCAGCTTGAAGAACTCCCTTTAACATTTCCTATAAGGCCAGTTTAGTAGTGATGAACTCCTTTAGCTTTTGTTTTTCTGTAAAACTCTTTATCTCTCCTCCAATTCTGAAGGACAGTTCTTCCAGGTAGAGCATTCTTGGTCGACAGGGGGTTTTACCACCCCCCCCCCCCCAACCACCATATTTTGAATATATCATGCCATTACCTTCTGGCCTGCTATGTTTATGCTAAAAAAATCTACTGATAGTCTTATGGGGGATCCCTTGTAAATACAAATTGATTTTCTCTTGCTGCTTTTAAGATTTTTTTTTCTTGTCTTTAACTTTTGACACTTTAATTATAATATGTCTTGGTGTGCATCTCTGGGTTCAGTTTATCTGGAACTCTCTAGGCTTCCTGGAAATGGATGTCTGTTTCTTTCCCTAGGTTAGGGAAGTTTGCAGCTATTATTTCTTCAAATAAGTTTTATGCCCTTTCTCTCTCTTCCTTCTCTGGGACCCCTATAGTGAATGTTGGTTTACCTGGTGTCCCATAAGTTCTTTAAGCTATCTTCACTCTTTTTCATTCTGTTTTCTTTTTGTTCCTCCAATTGGGTGAGTTCCACTGCCCTGTGTTCAAGTTCACTGATACTTTCCTGTGCTTCATCTAATCTGCTGTTGAACCCCTGAATTGTATTTTTCAGTGCAGTTACTGTATTCTTCAGCTCTGTGACTTCTATTTGGTACTTTCTATATTTTCTATCTCTTTGTTGAAATTCTCACTTGTTTGTGCATTATTCTCCCAAGCTCACTGAGCATCTCTATCACCATTATTTTGAACTTTTTTTTTATCAGATAAGTCACTTATCTCTGTTTCATTAAGGTCTTTTCCTGAGTTTTTATCTTGCTCTTTTGTTTGGAAAGTATTCATTTGTTTCTTCATTTTCCTTGCCTCTCTGTGTTAGTTTCTACATAAAACAGCCACTTTTCCCTGTCTTGAAGGACTGGCCTCTTGTAGGAAATGAACCTTGTCATTCTGCCTTGCCCTAGCTCTTCGTTGTATCTCAAAACTTTGTGATTGTCTGTGCAGCTTACTTTAATCTTAGTGGCTCCCAGTAGTTGAGGGTGTGCCAAGAGCTGTCAGTGACCCGAGGGGGATGATCTCAGTCAACACCTAGGTTCAGGCTGATTGGAAACCAAACCCTCAAGCAGCAGCTTTTAAAGTATGCAGATATTCCTCTTTCAGGGGAAAACTGGGAGTTAGTCATTTGTCTGCTCCGTCTGCACTGAGCCCTGGGGTAATAACCACTTAGGAAGTGTTTCTTTGAGGATGTAAGGGTGATCTGGCTGTGATATCTCTCACCCCATTGATTGCCAGGCTTGGTTTGGCTGGCTAGGCAGGTGTCCCCTTCCTCCCTCACCACCCCATGTTTTTCATTCCTGAAGCTGTTTGCTCAGTTGAAGAGGATGACCTTCTCCAATGGAGGAGGATTTTTCTTTGGTATATGAGTAGCTGCTCCCCTGCTAGAACCTCCAAACAAGCTCTCAAGAACTGTTTCTTTGCTTGTATTCACCCCATTGAACCCATGAACACAGTTGCACTGGCCACTGGAGCTTGGCTATCAAGGGATGTGTCCTCTGTTCGGCAACCACAAAAGCTGGGGCACCAGACATATACACAAGCTCCTTTCTTGGAGACACTGGCAACCCACAGTAGGGCAGAGGGAGAACATGAAGATGGTACCCATCAGCCTCCTCAGTCTTTGGAGAGGGTTGCAGTTGGCTCCTAGATGTGTGCTTAATTAGAAGGCTGCCCCTCAGGCTGCAGGCAACTATGAAGATAAGCTAATAGGGCCTCTTCAAAGAAAGACTGGGTGCTTTTCAGTCAGCTGCCCCTGTGCTGGGCCTTGGGGTGGGTAAGTGCATGCATGTAAGCCCTTTAAGAACTATTTCTCAGTTCGCTATAGCCATGTGGGTCTGTGGACACAAACCCCATAGGCTTTCTTTGGGGACTCGCTTCTCAGGTGCAGATCTTAAAAGTTGGGGTACCCAATGTGGGGTCCAAATCCTTCACTGCTCAGGCAGAAGCTCAGCATTGTGAGTTCCCTGCTTCTCCTGGGTTGCGACACCCAGGGCTTTATGGTGAGACTGTGTCTCAGCCTCTCTTTCAATGTGGGGTTTTTCTCATTTGCCCAGCATGTAGAAGTCACTTACCTAGTTTTGGGTTTCTTTCAGAGGAGACTGTTCTGTATGTGGGAGGGAGTGAGTCCAGGATCCTCTTATGTCACCATCTTGAACTAGAACACTGTCTCTTATCTTTTTGATGATAGCCAACCTAACAGCTGTGAGGTAGTATTTCATTGTGACTTTGATTGCATTTCCTTAAGAATTAGTCGTGTTGTGTATCTTTTCATATACCTGTTTCCATTTGTGTATCTTTGTTGGAGAAATACCTGCTAAGGTTCTTTGCCTGAGAGAGGCTGGAGCTGGCTCACAACCCACTGCAGCATCCACAGCTGGGACTGAGGTCTGTCTCCCCATTACCTGACATATGGGTGGTGACACTCCTCCTGCATCCCCAGACGTAAGGTTGCTGGATCCCACAGCTCTCCCAAAGACAGTTGTTCATGGATAGGTGCCAAATTTTGGTGGTTTTGGGGCGGGGGACAAAAACGAAGGACATTTTATGCTGCCACAATACTAACATCACTCCTCAGTCTTCTTGTATCTATAACAAATACTATCATGTTTGTGCACGTGGCAGTTGGCACACATAGCAGTATTTCCATGAGATAAAGCCCCAGAATGACTAGATCAAAATGTAGATGCATTTGCAGTTGCATGGGGGTCACCAAATTGCTCTTTATGGAAGTTTACACTCTACCCACAGTTTGAGGGTGCCTGCTTCCCCACATCCTGACTCGGATTTTACCAATCTGTGAAAAATAGCAATTCATTTGGGCTCTAATTTGCATTTTTCTTTTTTTTTTTTTTTTTTGAGAAAGATTAGCCCTGAGCTAACTACTGCCAGTCCTCCTCTTTTTGCTCAGGAAGCCTGGCCCTGAGCTAACATCCGTGCCCATCTTCCTCCACTTTATATGTGGGATGTCTGCCACAGCATGGGGTGCCAAGCAGTGCCGTGTCCACACCCGGGATCCGAACCAGCGAACCCTGGGCTGCCGAGAAGCAGAACGTGCGAACTTAACCACTGTGCCACCAGGCCAGCCCCAGCATTTATCTTATTATGAGTGGGGCTGAGCTTCTTTTTGTATGTTTGAGAAATGTATATTTCCTTTCCTGTGAACTATCCATATTCTTTGTATATTTTTATTTTCAGGTTTTGGTGTTTTTCTGATTCACTGGACTCTTTCCCTTTTGATATGAGTGACACATATTCAGCATATCTTAAAACAAAATCATCCAAGGAACCCAACTATAGAAGCAAAAGAGGGGTTCTGTTTTGTATTTGAGGTCAAGGTGGGATTCACAGGGTGAACGGAGGAAGCCGTCATGAGGGATGTCCTCGCCCTGGGGTCAGGGCTGTTGGTGATATCAGGGTCTTGGTTGCCGGGCGCTTGGCAGCACCCAGGGATGTTTACCTGGGGAGGTTTTCTGAAACTCACCTGCCTGTCCCTCCCGGGCGTTTATTTCCCCAGCTCATGTGTTCCTCGGTGCAGAAAGCCCTGTTCGAGGAGGAGGACCACGTCAAGAAACTGCAGCAGAAGGTGGCCACACTGGAGAAGCGGAACCGGCAGCTCCGGGACCGGGTGAAGAAGGTGAAGAGGTCTCTACGGCAGGCGCGGAAGAACGGCCGCCACCTGGAGCTGGTGAACCAGAAGCTCAGCGAGAAGCTGGCAGCTGCAGCAGGAGCCATCCCGCACATCAACGCCCTGGGGCGGGAGCCTGCACGCAGCTCCTACCTGCGGGGGTAGTGGGACTGCACGTGGCCTGGGCCAGCCCTGCTGGGGCACATTGCCTCTCGCCATGGAATGGAGCGATGGTGGTTTTGTATGTACACATATTTCAAATCTTGTAGAAGATATTTTTGTTCATTTTGTAGCATCTAGTTGGTTTAAAAGGCAAGCTTTGCTTTCCCTCAGTTGCTGGCCTGGTCCCAGACACAGTGCTCCGAAGTCCAGTGGCAGCAGGATCCCGGAGTGCTGTGTGCTTTCCTGGGGCCTGGCCTCGGCTTCCAGGAGCAGCCTGCAAAGTGCACTTATTGGGTAAAGAACATTTTAGAATCTCTAGATGCATGAGACTTTGAGGGGCTTGGCCTTTATTTCAGAAGAGAGGCAGTGTGGTCTCAGCTCTGAGCTCCAGGACAGCTACTAGTTTTGAGGAGTGATCAGAATCAAGTCGTGGAACCTTCTGGTGTCTCATTTTCCAGAGCTCTGGAAGGAGAATGGTGGCCTCGCAAAGCACCCAAGGATGCCTGTAAATAAACACGTGCGGGGCGTCCCTGCTCCAGCCAGCATTTCCTCACAGCTGAGGCTTATTAAGGCCTAATGAGCTCATCACGGGTAAGGGAATTGAGTTGGGAGTGGGGCAGCAGGAATTAAACAAGATGAATTACACCTGATTTCCAACGCCAGCTACCCAGAGCTGAAGATGATCCCTGTGGGTCACTCTAGTCAAGAGCAGAATTGCCTTTATGGGCCCGTCATGTTTCATCAAACCACACTCCTAAGCTGGAAGGGCCTGAGCAATATTGCAGCCACTGCTTAAGTTCGAACTCGTTTACCCAGTAATTGCTTCCAACTCCTCCAGATTCGAGGCGAGCCGACCCGATATTCTGTGAACTTCTGTTCTGCAGAGATGCCTCCTGCCCAGCCAGGCTCTCGAAGGGCTTCTTCCAGGCATTCCAATCTCTGCTGCTTTGTGCAAACGCTTTCCACCCACCAGGACTGTCTGTCCCCTGGGAGTAATGTTTGCACATCAGTCCACTTGTTGTTGTGTCAGTTCCTGGACGTGATCAAAGCACTTCACCCTCTTTAGAAAAACTTTTAAAGAGAGAACTACACATAAAAAGTATTCTCCATACCTATCACTTGGGCACAGTCAATTACTCCCTGTGTTATTAAGAAGTCAGCTGAGGGGCTGCCTCTTGGTTATCTTCTGATGATGCAGTTCCAAACCCCCAAGTTTCCCTTCATTGCTGTTTCAGATAGAAGCTGCAGATCAGGAGATCGGCCGCCCAGAGATGGCCCAGACCCTGCAGGCCCTGATTGTGCTGTGTTCTCCGTTGGAAATGGCAGTTACACTGTCAGATTTCCGTTCCACTGCCTTTAGGAAAACCCCATCCTTCTTGCTCTGGCAGCCAGTCTGGGGCAGGAGCCTGTTTCACATGAGTCTTGGTGGCAGGATTCTGCCTGAGAGGAGGCATCTACGCCCTGGACTAGATAGCATGGGAACTTTTGCTCAAGGGTACTTCATGTCCAAGCTTCTGCCACTGCTTTACTAGCTGTATTCTTCATAGTGTGGTGCATTAGAAGGCGCATCTTCTAGTCTCTTCTTCCTGGGGATATTTCCTTAGAGCAGTTTTCTCCCGCCCAAGGGAATGGCAAGCCTCAGGTGACTTACAGCCAGGGTTTGGAGAGCTGTGGGAGCTGGATCACTACAGATGCATTATGTTCTGCCTTTGCAATAAACGAGCAATATTTCAGCCACAACAGGAAAGCAGTGTGTGTTTCTTTTGGGTCAGGGAGACTTCAGGGTTTCCAGCTTTGGTCTGGAAAGTCTGTTTAGATCCTCTGGGGGAAGCATCTGTGAGCAACACCATTTAGGAGACTGAGCCCAAGCCTCCTCTGTTGTCCCCACTGGGATGTCGCCTCCAGGGTTCCTGTCTCTCAGCACACCTTCGGAAAACCAGTGCTCTCCTGGCCTGCTCCTCACAGGGACAAGCAGCTTCATTAATCAATGTCTTCAAAAATACATTCATATCTGTTGCCAAAGGGAACTCCCCAGGGCCCTGGTGTCTGCTGCATTGTCATCTGACCATAGCCCTTGCCACCTGTGTATTGTGCTAGTAGGAATTCTTTATGAAAGAAAATTCCAAGAATTACTCAGAACTTGACACCCGTTAGCCAACCTGCTGTAGCATCATCTCTGAGATACAGGCCATTGCTTCAGCTTTGTACTTCGAGGAGGCCAAATGACTTTTCTCAAGTTACATTGTAAGCAAGAGGCAGGTAGAATCTAGAAACTTTAAACTACAGTCCCCGGGAGTCACTAGCTGCAGCATGTGGGCCACAGCTAGTGCGGGGTGAGGTTTCTTGGGCCTCCACAGTGTGTTTGAATGTGAACACCTTTGCTGGACTCCAGCTCAGGCCACTGTCTCTACTGCTATTGCTCCCTTTTTTTTTTTTTTTAAACACCAGGCCGTGTCATACATTTATAGTGCCTGCCTGGCAGCAGAAGTTAACAAGGATTCTTGCTTCTGTGGTGTGAAGCCACGTCTTCCTTTTGGGAGAGAGAACACAAACTCAGATCACAATGATTTTGAATCAGTCCATAGTCTACAATGGTTTAAGAAAAAAATCAAGCACCCGGCATGTATTAGGCTCTTTCACACATATTATCACATTTAATATTCCTAATAACTTTATAAAATAGTGATCCTGCTCCCCATTCTTCAAGAGGAATATGGGGCTTCAAGAGAGTAAGTAGGGGCCGGCCCCATGGCTGAGTGGTTAAGTTCACATGCTCTGCTTCAGTGGCTTGGGGTTCACCCATTTGGATCCCGGGTGCAGACCTACACACCTCTCATCAAGCCATGCAGTGGCAGCATCCCACATGGAGGAACTAGAATGATTTGCAACTAGGATATTCAACTACTGGGGCTTTGGGGAGGGAAAAAAAAAAAGGAAGATTGGCAACAGATGTTAGCTCAGGGCCAATCTTCCTCACCAAAAAGTATACTTAAAAAAAAAAAACTGCCCAATAAGCTCAACTAGTACAAGTGGCCAGTCAAAGATTCAACTCCATCCTCTCTCTTTGTTCATCTGTAAAATGGGGATAAAAGTCACTTCTACCTCAAAGGTTGTTTAGAGGATTGAATAAAATTATTCGTATAAATGCTTAGTGTGGTGCCTGACACTCTGTGAGCATTCAATAGATCTTACAAGAATGATTTTTGTTACTAATATTCACCAGAAAGGCCCTTTGTCAGAAATAAGAGTATTTCGCAAGATTCCGTAAATTTTCTTGTCAATCTTTAGCCTCCTTCCCGTCACCCTACAACATCCCTAGCTCTCTCTAATTCTCCTTATTTCTGAGCCACTTCCTTTTCTTTAACAGTGAGCTGTTAGTTGTTCCTCCAAATTTACCAAGAAAATATAGTCCATCTGAAATGTGTTTCTTCAACTTCCTAGTATATCGTTCACATTGTCTAGTTTTACCTAATCTGTCGAGTATCTCTCTCCTCCCCACCTCAAAGGAAGAGACCACATCCAGGGTCAAACCACTTCCCTGTTATCTTGAGTTCATATTACTCCCCTCAAAACCTTGCTCCACTAATGTTCCCTCTTTTATCATAAATCTTTTCTCTTTTGGGGACTCCTGTCCTTATCTTCCAGCCTTATCCTCAGATCTCCTCATTCTAGGGGAAAAAAGACCCAGGAACAAACATAGAAAGTATTGAGGTAATCTTTAAAGATGGCAATATGAGAGGCTCCTGAACTCCCCTCCTTCCACCAACACACCAAATAAACAGCTACACATGGAGAAATTCCCTCTGAAAGAAGTCCAGGGGCTGGCCCCTTGGCTGAGCAGTTAAGTTCGCACGTTCCACTGGAGGCAGCCCAGTGTTTCATTGGTTCGAATCCTGGGCGTGGACATGGCACTGCTCATCAAACCATGCTGAGGCAGCGTCCCACATGCCACAACTAGAAGGAACCACAACGAAGAATATACAACTATGTACCGGGGGGCTTTGGGGAGAAAAAGGAAAAAATAAAATCTTTAAAAAATAAAAAAGTCCAGAAACTAGCTGAGTGACTCTCACACATCAGGGGAACAAGAAAATACTGACATCAAAATGAGCAGGAAGGGCTGAGATGCACTCTTGCCATAAACCTCACCCATGGCACAGTGCCATACAATCGGGAGGGAATCCCCAAATGCCAGCTTCTCCTAGAAAAGTGAAGGGTTTTGACCCCACATCTCCCACCTCAACTTTTAAGACTCTCAAAACCTCTACTCTGAAAACCTATGGGGTTTGTGTCTATGAGACCCACAAGACTATAGCAAACAAATAATTACTGACAGGCAAGAGCACTCACTTAGCTATAACCCCAGGGTCAGAGCAGACAGAGCAGGCAAAAAACACCCATCTACTATTTTTTCCCTGAATGAGTTTATTTCAGTACTTTAAAAGCTGCTGCTTGAGGGTCAGGCTTCTAATTAAGCACACATCTAGAGGCTAACCACAATCCTCCCTGAAGACTGGGGGAGCCAGTGGACACATCCTCTGCCCTCTCTCTCTAGCCTGTTCCAAGTCACCAGTGTCTCCCTGGAAGGAACTTGCACACAAGTCTGTGCCCCAGCTTTTATGGCTGCTGCCAGGGAATGGGCCCCCAAATTGCCTGGCTCTGATAGTGAGTGGGGTTTGCATTCATGAGTCCCACAAAACTGTAGCAAACAAGTTCTTGACAGGCTCAGGAGAACCCAAACACAGCTATACACCTGGGCCCAGTGCAGAGGGAGCAGGCAAAAACACTAACCTCCCATTTCTCCCTAGAAGGCGCCTAACTACATACTTTCCCAGCTGCTGCCTGAGAGTCCAGCTTCCAAGTGGTCTGCATGTAGGTGCTGACTGCGATCCTCCCCTTTGGGACTCCGACAAGTCTTGGCACACCTTCTACTACTGGGAGCCACTAGGAACAAAGAACGTGGCTTGGACAATCACAAAGGTTAGAGAGACAACCAGGCCGGGCTGATAGATGAGTTTCATCTCCTACATGAGACCACTCTGTCAAGACTGAGAGAGGTGGCTGTTTTATCTAATGTGCAGAAACAAACAAGCCAAGGAAAATGAGAAAACAAAGGAATATGTTCAAAACTAAAGAACAAGATGAAAACTCCAGAAACAGGGATGAGAGCTATCTGACAGTTCAATTAACAGACCTAAAGATGCTCACTGAGGTCAGGAGAGCAATGCATGGACAAAGTGAAAATTTCACCAAAGAGATAGAAAATATAAAAAAGTACCAAATGGATCACAAGGCTGAGGAATACAATAACTGAACTGAAAAATTCAACAGACGGGTTCAATGGTAGACTAGATAAATCATAAGAAAAGATCAGTGAACTTGAGACAGGGTAATAGAAGTCATCCACTCATAGGAGCAAAAGAAAAAAGATTGAAGATAGCTTGAGCGACTTATGGCACACCATCAAACAGACTATAGACATTTATAGGGGCCCCAGAAGGAGAAGGGATAAAAAGGCAGAAAGCTAATTCAAAGAAATAATGGCTGAAAACTTCCCTAACCTGGGGAAAGAAACAGACATCCAGATCCAGGAAATCTATATTTTCAAAAATGATGAATATGAAGAGACCCACACTGAAACACATAATTAAATTGTGTAAAAGTAAAGACAAGGAGAGAATCTTAAAAGCAGCAAGAGAAAAACAACTTATGTACAAGGGAACTCCCATAAGAATATCTTCATATTTTATAGCAGAAAGTTTGCAGGCCAGAAGAGATTTGGATGATGTATTCAAAGTGTTGAAGGGAAAAAACTACCAACCAACAATACTCTACCCAGCAAAGCTGTCCTGCAGAATTGAAGGAAAACATGATATTATATATACAAAACCCTAAGGACTCCACAAAAAAAGAAAAACACATTAGAACTAATAAATGAATTCAGTAAAGTTGTAGGATACAAAATCTATATATAAAAATCAATTCTGTTTAACTTGCCCTTCAGAATTGAAAGAGAGAGAAAGAGTTTTCCAGACAAGCAAAAACTGAAGGAGTTCAGCACCACTAGATTGGCCTTACAAGAAATGTTTTAAAGATTTCTTTAGGCTGAAATGAAAGGGCACTAGTTAGTAACAGGAAACACATATGAAAGTATAAATCTTATTAATAAAAGTATATATATAGTTAAATTCAGAATAATCTAATGTATTGATGGTGAATTAATCACTTATAAAATCTAGTATGAATGTTAAAAGGCAAAAGCAGTAAAAAATAACTACATTAATTTGTTAATAGATACTCAAGATAAAAAGATGTAAACTGTGACATCAAAAACATAAAAGGGGGAGTAAAAATGTAGAACTTTAAAATTTTTTCAAACTTAGGTTGTTTTCAGTGTAAAATAGACTGTTAAAACGTTTAGATGTTTTATGTAAGTCTCATGGTAAACACAAAGCAAAATCCTTCAGTAGATACACAAAAGATAGAGAAAAAGGAATCTAAGCCTACCACTACAGAGAAATCATCAAATTACAAAGGAAGAGAGCAAAAGAAGAAAGGAATTACAAAACAGCCAGAAAACAACTAACAAAATGGCAGTAAGTACATATCTATCAATAATTATATTAAACGTAAATGGACTAAATTCTCCAACCAAAGATATAAAGTGGCTGAATAGATTTAAAAAAATAAGTCCCATTTAGATGCAGTCTACAAAAGACTCACTTAGCTTTAAGAACACACACAGAC